ATCCTACGGTACCAAAGGAGGGGTTTGGAAAAAGGGTGCCAGGCCGAAAACGGGATGTAGCCGAAACAGCAAAAGATAGACCAGGGATCGAGCCCTGGCGAAGTCCGTAACAGGATGGGGGGGAGGCGAGACGAAGATGGAGGTGAGGGAGAAGACCAAGATCGCGATAGCGACGTTCAAAAATAGTCTCCCTGCCAAATGTCCAATCAATGTCTGCCACAAAATACGGAATCAGATCCTAGGCCTCATGGCCCAATGCAATCTGCCTCTCTCTCTCTCTCTCTCTCTCTCTCTCTCTCTCTCTCTCTCTCTCTCTCTCTCTCTCTCTCTCTCTCTCTCTCTGTGAAAGAAGAAAAAAAAGGAGGAAGTAGGAAGGAGGAAGAAAAGATGGAGGGCGAGACTAAGGAGAAGGAGGTGTCATCCTCCTCGCTGTCTCACCTGCAGATAACTGCTCCGATGTACTAACTGCTTCCTGCGGCTCTCTCACTGTGCAGGTCGCTGGCGTGGAGTTCAGCTATGGCGCCCAGGTAAGTACCGCCTCAGCAGGTATGGCCTCCGCCTCACCTCCTACCTACGCGTCTACTCCTTAGTGCAGCACTGTGTCACGCTGCTCCAGCAACGTGTCACCCAAGAAGTGAGCTACTTGAACTGTGTGTCTGCCCTGACCTGGCCCAACTATAAGTAGCGCTGGGCCTCGCTGGTGTGCCTCTGGTCCTTGGCCTGAAACGGCCTGCCTGGGTCCCTACCAGACGAACACGAACCTGGCCTGAAAGGACCTGGCTGTGAACGAAGAAGGCCCAAAACGTGGCCTTTGTCCGAACAGACCAAAAGTCTGTTCGGACGAACTGCAAGTCCGAAGCGCCTGAACAGACAAAAATAAGACAGCAAATAAATAAATGAATGCTGCCTCAAGTCGAATCCCGCGGCCCTAAGGCCGGCCGTGGGCCTCCAGGGCGCATGTCCGAAGGGCATGCCGCCTGGGGGGCCCCAGCAACCGTCGGGCCCCGAAATGGGGCTCGTGTGCAAGCTCAGCATGTAACAGATAATGACTGGGTGTTCTATTCAGGTGAAGACGGTAGGCCTACCCGTTGTTACTGCTTTTGATGGGAATGTCATTGCAGACTGATAGCTACCCTGCAGGGCCCGAATATACCTCCAAAGCTGTGTACATCAGTGTTGCACACCCCGACGGTCGGTGCCTCTTGACTGGTCGTATGCCAACCAACCGACCGGTCAGCTGTTCGGTGCCTACCGGTCGGAGGTCGTCGGGTCCGGAACCCCCAATAATCTCAGCAACACCCCCATACTCGCCCCCAATACCCCCATACGCCCCCAAACCGTCCCCAACACCCTCACACACCTCCCCATACCCCCTATGCCCCCCCTATACCCTCCTATACCCCCCTATACCCCCCTATACCCCCTCATCCCCATCCCCTCAGCGGATTTGGGCTGTACTCAGCAAGCGCAATACAGCCCCCAATTCAGATTGGAAAAAGAATCAGTGGATGACTGTTTTCTGACTGGTCGGCAGACCGTCGACCGGTCGGCCCTGCTGGTCGGCTGCAATACGGTCCGCGGTAGGAGTCAGCGGTCGGCAGCAACCCTGGTCTACGTTCAAATACTGGACTATCATGACTTACTGGACAGTTACCGGACTTTTAAGCCTACCCAACTTGCTGAAATATCCCTACTGCTGTCATTGGCTCAGTCACACATTCTGTTCATGTCCCTGGCCGACCTGCTAACCGTAGTATGCCACCTACTGTTAACTTTCAGCGCTGTCAGGAACCAGCACTTTTTCTATTCTACCCCTGTCCGAGGCACAGACAACAGACAGCCAGCATGGCCAAAAAACTGAGTGCACGGAGTTGGACTTGAACTCAGAACTTCAACAGGCAAGCACACAGCAGGCATACATCATCGGCCGGACGCATACGGAGTCAGAAAACACAGCAAAACAGTTTCAGATTCGGAGATCTCAGCAATCAGATAAAAAAGACAGCCCGCAGAGAAATGCAAATTTCTGATCATTTCTCCAACCATTATTGTGCAGGGCAGTGCAGAAATTTGAGGCCTAACTGTGATTGTGTAATGCCCATTTCTGCTCACCGTCCAGGCGCCACCTGTTGGCACAGCTTACCGAATTGTGGCCGGTATTGTCTGCGGCGACTTGTGTCTGTACTGCGCTCCAGGAAGCATTGAAAGGCTCGACACAGGAGAAGCGCGAGCTGCTGCAGCATTTGCATGCATATCTTGATTCCCCAGAGCCAGAAATGCCTCGCCTTCCATCGGTCAGTGTTTACTTTCTAAGGACCAGATGCTACTGCATATGCTTGTTGTGACAAATGTCAGAGTACGCTCACACCAGGACTCCATTGAATATTCGCGAAGTTGCTATCAGTCTTGGCTGCATTCCGGAGGTCGGTGTGGGAGCATGTCCTCACTTTCTTTATTGTCGCCGCAGAGCAGGGGTCTATATCGTTTCAACCTCTGCGAGTCCCTTGGCTTTATCACACCTGTCAGAAAGATAAGTGAGTCACTGTGGGTGATTGTCGTCCTCCTAGAGTTCCCGCTGACTTCTTTGCTCCCTTACCAAAAAGTTCGCGAAAACTATTCTGCCCCCCCCCCCCTCCCACCCACCCACCCCCCAAAAAAAAGAACACAAAAAAGAAACAGAAAAAGAAAAGCACTTGTGCTGAGAATGGTCAGCTAGGTTTTCCTGGTCATCATCCATCTCATCCCTACTGTCGGTGTCTCTTCTGCTGTCAGACTGACTCCTGGTTCTCCAACCGTTGGTCCTCTCTCTCTCTCTCTCTCTCTCTCTCTCTCTCTCTCTCTCTCTCTCTCTCTCTCTCTCTCTCTCTCTCTCTCTCTCTCTCTGTGTATCCCTTCATATGCTCTCATCTTTATTCCTCTGTGTGTGTGTGTGTGTGTGTGTATCCCTTTCCCCTTCAGTCTGCGTCGTTTCCACAGCATGCAAGTGGCTGTTATGGCATGTGGGGGTGTAGGGAGTTTCTCACTGCCAGAAAGGCTGCGTGGACTCAGGCTTGGTTGGTGGTGGTTTCTATATGTACATTCTTACTGCCAACGATAATGAGGAAAGCTACGATTTGATTCAGCTAATTTATGAAGATCGTCTCTTTCTTTTCTAGCAAATCCTTGTTTTTTTTTAAGCATCCTGTATTTCAGCAGATAAAGATTGATCTGAACTTTGTTGTTTTTATTATTTTTTTTGGTCAAAACGCTCAACTGCGTCAACGTGGTCATTCTTGTACCTGAGAGGCGCGGTGAAGGGAGAGCTGAAAGGAGGAATAAAAGAGAAACTGTGAAAAAAGACCACGAGAAAGGACGGAAAAAAGAAAAGAAAAGAAAAGAAAAGAAAGAAAGAAAGAAGAAGGAAAGAAAGAACTACTAGGAGAAGGCAAACAAATATTATCTAAAACAGACATTTTAAGTTTACCGGCCGCTGGCGCCTTTATGTGCATCAAACCCGCTGGCTCTCGCTGGTTTTAGATCGCTGGATAGTAGAACCGGCGGTCAGCAGCGAGTGCGAACTCGACCAAAGCTCATTGTTTGGTGGGCAGGGGCGTGCAAACAGCAGATGTTGCGAATGCCGCAGGCCATTGATTTCGTGTCAGAAGACACTGTGTCAATCCCCGCAAGAAGAATCAAGGAAAATCAGGTTACATTAATTGCGGTGCAGAGACAGCTCAGAGCGGGGAGAGCTGGGTATAGGAATAGAATTGCTCAGCAACAGGGAGACTTAGGAGTGTTGATGCAAAGGTCTATCATTTCCGGCCGGCCGTTCTGCTTCGACACCAAGTCTCACTTCTTCGGGCTGCAAGTAAATCACTGTACACACAAGGGAGATCAAACTGCCATAGGCTAACAACTACCGTCTTCACCCAGATAGAACGCCCGGTAATTATTGCCGTAACTGGGCTGAAAGTTGCGCCAAAGACAGCTATAATGACCGGGCGTTATATTCGGGTGAAGACGGTAGGACGAGGCGAACAGAGAATGCTGTGTTACTTGCGGTTGCAATAAGTAGTTAGGAAATTGAGTAGCATTAGGTAGCTCGGAAGGGGGCTGGATGCTGAGGGGAAAATCGCTCTAGTGAGGCGATTGTGATGAATTGATGTGGTGGCTGCATTGGGAGCGGCAGATTCTGAGCAGCAGGAGCATTGCTGAACCACAGAGGAGGAGGAGATCAGATTTTGAGCAGCAGGAGCATGCTACACCACCGAGGAGAAGATGATCATGACCTAGACCCCCGCTGAGTGTCTGGGTCCGTGGAGAATCTCCCGGCTAGAGGGGATCGAACGAATGGAAGTCTGGCTGCCGCCCTCTGTGGCGCAGCGATGGCTCACTGTCCCAGGTCTCGTACCGGGGCAGAGCTACTCCCCCCCCTTCTGTGGAGATGATCATGACCTTGAGCCCCGCTGAGAGCATTTTGCAAATGGTTTGAAAATTCAAAGGCATCTACCACAGGGTCTCATGTATGTACACCGGCCAGGTAACTCTCTCCCTATCTCTTTCATGTCCTAGCTACACTCAGGCCTCCCTCTATCTTCTTTGAATGAATGTCTTCCTTGCTCCCTCAAGCTCCACAGCTACGATGACGGGCGCCATTGCGCCTCACTCGTGACGGCAACGGCGCTTCCACAACAGGCTCGAATGCAAATTGTGTTGTCACTTGGCTGCCGCCGGACTTTGGCACTTCGCTGCAGTTCCCGATTGTCGACATTTCACACGGGTACCCTGCCTTGCCGACTGCAGCTGGTCATCGACTCTTCAGGGAGCTACCGGACTTCACTGGAACTGGGCTGCAGTTTGGACTTTGACTGACGGGCGACTGACTGACTGGGCCTAACAACCTTCCGGCCTGTCACATCTAGCGGGCATACAGGTACAGACAAATTTACAAGTCCTACCGAATTAATTTCACAGACGGGCCTACAGGTGAGGACTGTGGCACATCGGACTCGGAACTGCAACTTCTTTCACTGGAGTCACCTCAGAAGTAATGGTCACACAGAAAGAACAGGGGTAGAGCAGTGGTAGATCCTTCCTTCGAGGAAGGGAATCAATGCCACCGTCTCGGGATCTCTCGTGGTCTTTCGGGCATAACGGAGAAAAGTGTCACACGAGTCAAATTCATGTAAACAACACTGGATCTTGTTTCTCACTATTACTGTAATTGTCTTTTCTTAAGCCGCCACTACCTTTCACAGTGTTGGGAAAAGTGGGAATATAACCTATTCCGCATTCCTTAGGGAGCGGGCGCACCAGTGGCTGCTGTTGATAAGCCGCCGTTTCATTTCCGCCTCCGAAACAAGTGGGGACCCTCCCTGCGGCCGATGTACGGGGAAGGTAGTGGTGGTGGTTTAAAAAGAAGAAAAAGAATGTTTGGAACATTGGATTATTTCCAGATGGTCTTCTGAGTGGATGTATGTAACCGGTTTCGAGGTTGTAGTGGTAGCTCGTCCCTGTGAATCATATGAAAAGCCTGGCAGTGTGCAGTTTCGCGGCTGACGAGTGGATGTGTGTAACCTGTTCTAATTATTTGGTTATTGTGCAGCTTCTTGGCTTATGAGGAAGTTGTCTCTGTGTCTTTGTTGAGTGCAGGTGAAGGACATTCTGCTCATCTGGGGAAGATATGATCGACTGTTTCCGCTGCATCTGGGTGAGAGATTCCAGAGGTAAGTTGATTACGGCTATGATGCCAGCGCAATCATGATCTAAAACTGGATGCATGAATCTCAACACGAGACAAATCCTAGTGAGGACGAAGAAGACGGAATATTCTCATACTCAACTCCGTGGCACTTCGCCATCACTCCATCCTCATATCTCCTCTCCTTATTACTTCTCATCTCATCTCATCTCATCTCAATACAATTAAAAGTTGCAAAGGGCCCGATGTGACGCTTCCCACCGGGCCCAGCGAAAATAGATGGCCCACGGCGCAGCAGTGGGATGCGCGGCATAGCAGTGGGACGTGGTCAGTGAGGGGCGAAAATTGACGCGCGGCGTGCCAGCGGGACGTGGGCAGTGAGGAGGGTCGTGGTCGTGCGCCGGGGTGTCGGTTCGTGGGAGAAATTCGCAGGACGTAGTTGCGACGACGCCGGGCTGGGTGCCAGGGGGCTCTGGGGAGAGAGAGAGAGAGAGAGAGAGAGAGAGAGAGAGAGAGAGAGAGAGAGAGAGAGAGAGAGAGAGAGAGAGAGAGAGACGAAGCGACGCAGGAGGAGGAGAAGTGGGAGGAGCGGGAGGAGGAACGGGGGAAAGAGCAAGAGAAGCAGCGGGAGGGAGGAGGAGGAAGAATACACACACTCTCTCTCTCTCAAACACACACACACACACACACACATACACACACACACACACACACACACACACAGAGGAGGAGGAGGACGAGCGGGAGGAGCAGCAGGAGGGGGAGGGGGGGAAGGATGATCCATCATCTGTTGTTGTTAAGCGGTGTGAAAAGGGAGGACGTGCGCGCGTGAGAGAGAGAGAGAGAGAGAGAGAGAGAGAGAGTTTTCCATTGATAGGATGAGCAACGCACCGGCCAACAGGTAAGTCTCCAACCTCGTGACTGGCCTCACGCTACTTCCATCGATAGGATGAGCAAAATCGAATGGATCTTCCGCTAGAACATCGAAATATACACTACTACTGGCAGTGTATATTTCCATGTTCTAGCAGTAGATTCGTTCGATTTTGCTCATCCTATTGATGGAAGTACCCTCTCTCTCTCTCTCTCTCTCTCTCTCTC